ATTTTTGCAGGGTGCCAAGCCTGGTGAAGGTGGCGAGCTACCTGGACATAAGGTTATAGGAGATATTGCAGTAACCCGAAACTCCACCGCTGGTGTTGGTCTCATCAGCCCTCCTCCTCATCATGATATCTATTCAATTGAAGACCTTGCTCAACTGATTCACGATCTCAAGGTAGGATGTATTTCCTGCTTGCCATTCCACCTTCAATGCAGTTCGTTTCATGGAATGGGATGTTCCAATTTCGATTTTTTTTGTCCAACCAGTCAACTAATTCAAACCTCCTAATCTTAATTGCAGAATGCTAATCCAGGAGCTCGGATTAGCGTCAAGTTGGTATCTGAAGCTGGCGTGGGTGTGATAGCTAGTGGGGTGGTAAAGGGTCATGCTGATCACGTCTTGATTTCAGGTCATGATGGAGGTACCGGTGCTTCTAGATGGACCGGCATTAAAAATGCTGGGCTCCCGTGGGAGCTTGGTTTGGCCGAGACTCACCAAACACTTGTTGCCAACAACCTTCGAGGCCGAACTGTTCTTCAGACTGATGGTCAACTAAAAACTGGAAGAGATGTAGCAGTTGCTGCACTTCTCGGTGCAGAAGAGTTTGGCTTCAGCACAGCACCTCTCATAACTCTTGGATGCATCATGATGAGAAAGTGCCATAAAAACACGTGCCCGGTTGGCATTGCCACTCAAGATCCAGTTCTCAGAGAAAAGTTTGCTGGAGAGCCTGAACACGTCATCAATTTTTTCTTCATGCTAGCTGAAGAGCTTAGGGAGATAATGTCCGGGCTAGGTTTCCGCACGCTTAACGAGATGGTTGGTCGTGCGGATATGCTGGAAGTTGATAGAGATGTTGTGAAGAACAACGAAAAGCTTGAAAACATTGATCTTTCACTTCTACTTAGACCTGCTGCTGACATCCGACCAGAGGCTGCTCAGTATTGCGTGGAGAAGCAGGACCATGGCCTGGACATGGCTCTGGATCAAAAACTCATCAAGCTATCTAACCCGGCCTTGAAGAAGGGTCTTCCAGTGTACATCGAGACGCCAATATGCAACGTGAACCGTGCTGTCGGTACAATGCTGAGTCATGAAGTCACCAAGCGGTATAATCTGGCAGGACTTCCAAAAGACACCATTCATGTGAAACTCGATGGAAGTGCTGGGCAGAGTCTCGGTGCTTTCCTTTGCCCCGGGATAACACTAGAGCTCGAGGGTGACAGCAATGACTATGTTGGAAAAGGATTGTCAGGTGGAAAAATCGTGGTTTATCCACCAAAAGGAAGCTTGTTTGATCCGAAAGAGAACATAGTGATTGGTAATGTAGCTCTGTATGGAGCTATCAGCGGTGAAGCATATTTCAATGGTATGGCTGCAGAAAGATTCTGTGTACGGAACTCCGGAGCTACTGCAGTTGTTGAAGGAGTTGGTGATCATGGTTGTGAGTACATGACAGGTGGCACTGTCGTTGTGCTAGGAAAAACAGGAAGGAATTTTGCTGCAGGCATGAGTGGTGGCATTGCCTATGTTCTCGATATCGATGGGAAATTCCATTCTCGTTGCAACCCTGAGTTGGTGGATCTCGATCGAGTCGAGGAAGAAGAGGACATCATGACTCTCAGAATGACAATACAACAGCATCAGCGTAACACTAACAGCCAGTTGGCTAAGGAAGTGCTGGCTGATTTTGACGGTCTCCTGCCTAAGTTCATCAAGGTCTTCCCGAGAGATTACAAGCGTGTGCTTGCTAGCATGAAGAGTCAATCAGCTGCTACAGAGGTTGCTGAGAAGATGGCTAAGGAAACTGAGGATCAAGATGAGGTGGAGTTGACTCCGAAAGATGCCTTTAACGAACTCAAAATGTTAGCAGCTGCATCATTGAATGACAAATCCATTCAGGTGGGTCTTATTTCTGATTTCTGATGGGTCACATTTGAAAACTGAATGATGCTTTTGCCTCTTGGGCCCGCTAATGTATTTGACTTGTCAGATTGAGCCATAAAAATTGTGAGAGGAAGACCTATCCAAGGTTTAGTTGGAGTGCTTGACTTGAACATTTTCATGGTTGATATCCTGCTTATAGATTCTGATGTCTGTCTCTTGTTTTGGTATGGACAGGTGGATGAAACTGCAGAATCGAAGAGGCCAAGTCGGGTCAATGATGCTGTTAAGCATCGTGGGTTTGTTGCGTATGAGCGTGAAGGTGTTCAGTACAGGGATCCTAACGTCCGAATGAATGACTGGAATGAAGTAATGGAGGAATCAAAACCTGGTCCTCTTTTAAATACTCAGTCAGCTCGCTGCATGGATTGTGGTACTCCTTTCTGCCATCAGGTGAGAGCTATAGCTTTTTTCTGCTTTTGCTTACCCATTTCGGTAATGGTGGGAAGAGATTTGTCTGACGCTCTTCTCTAATTTGCTTCTTTGTTGCAGGAGCACTCGGGATGCCCACTTGGAAACAAAATACCCGAGTTCAACGAGTTAGTTTATCAAAACAGATGGCGTGAAGCATTGGATCGTCTTCTCGAGACAAATAACTTCCCAGAATTCACTGGCCGCGTGTGCCCTGCTCCGTGCGAAGGCTCTTGTGTTCTTGGCATAATTGAGAATCCCGTCTCTATAAAGAATATTGAATGTGCTATCATCGACAAGGCTTTTGAAGAAGGGTGGATGAAGCCAAGGCCTCCTCTCAAAAGATCTGGGTATGTCATCACTCAATGAGAAGCCTCTGTTTACTTGTCTATATGTCTTTTATTCATGAAGGAGAGCATTCGGTATTGCAGGAAGCGAGTTGCGATAATCGGAAGTGGACCAGCAGGTTTGGCTGCTGCCGATCAGCTGAACAGAATGGGCCATTCAGTGACTGTCTATGAGCGTTCTGACCGAATCGGAGGGCTTATGATGTACGGAGTCCCCAACATGAAGACTGACAAAGTGGACGTAGTTCAACGACGTGTCAACCTCATGGCAGAGGAAGGCATCGACTTTGTAGTCAATGCCAACGTTGGAGTTGACCCTGAGTATTCTCTAGAAAGGCTCCGGGAGGGCAATGACGCCATTGTTATGGCAGTCGGAGCCACCAAGCCAAGGGACCTTCCTGTACCTGGACGGGACCTGCAGGGAGTCCATTTCGCCATGGAGTTCCTTCACGCCAACACGAAGAGCTTGCTCGACAGCAACCTGGAGGACGGCAACTACATATCCGCGAAGGGGAAGAAAGTGGTGGTCATCGGTGGAGGTGATACAGGGACCGACTGCATTGGGACATCCATCCGCCATGGCTGCAACAGCATTGTGAATCTAGAGCTGTTGCCCGAGCCACCGAAGACCCGAGCAGCAGGCAACCCTTGGCCTCAGGTCTGAATCTTAGCATCATAAAACCCTGATCGCAGTCTGTAACATTGCTCATCATCATTCAATCTTTGTTTTGCAGTGGCCTCGTGTCTTCCGGGTTGACTATGGACATCAAGAAGCTGCAAACAAATTTGGAAAGGACCCACGGTCTTACCAAGTGCTGACCAAACGGTTCGTGGGAGACGAGAATGGGAAGCTCAAGGGGATTGAGGTGGTCAAGGTCAACTGGGAGAAGGATGCTAGTGGGAAGTTCCAGTTCAAGGAGGTAGAAGGTTCGTTGGAAATGATCGAGGCTGATCTCATCCTGCTAGCAATGGGCTTCCTTGGTCCCGAGGCGGTCAGTTATCCTTCTCTTGTCTGCTTACTTACTGCTCAGTCTTCTCATGATTCGTTTACTCAAATTTCTTATTCTTGTTCTTCTACAGAACTTGGCCGAGAAGTTGGGCATGGAGAGAGATGCACGATCAAACTTCAAGGCTGATTACGGCCGATTCTCAACAAACGTGGAAGGCGTGTTCGCTGCTGGGGATTGCCGACGAGGACAGTCCCTCGTCGTATGGGCTATATCCGAGGGAAGACAGACTGCATCCCAAGTTGACAAGTACCTCATGCGAGAAGAGGATGCTGACGCGATCAGCAAGGAACAGGGTGATGCGAGAGAGCGAGACTTGACGAAGAAGCAGCGAGAGGACAAGCACAGGGTCATGACATAGGGCAACAGAAAGCTCTGAGCTTTCTATTGCTGACTGATCATACAGCGCGACTGCTCGAAGATAAATAATGGGCGGCCGCGATGATGACGATGCAACAATGTCAGTCATGTTGTGAAGCTGAAGACGGCTTTGCAAGGTTTAGATGGAAGATAGTAGTACAGGATCGAGGAATTGTGTTGATGCTTGTTCTTTTGTGGGTTTTGTTTCCCTCTGCCCCATTGGTATAGTTTTATAGACTCAACAGCCACCTTAGTTTTGAGAGGTGGATTTGTGTTGGGTTTGTTGAGGAAAGAATAATGTGCAGTTTTGTTTGTTTAGGCGCTTTTCCAACTTCAACTGCAAGCAATATATATGTAATTTATATCGTAATGGGGAAATCTAATACTATTTGCTTTTGTCAAGTTTTCTCAAACATATGATTCTTATGGTATAGTGAAGAAAACCTGTACTCAAGCTTCTGGTCAATGTCCTCGGAAGCAAGAGTACTGTCTCCTTTAGCAGTGTTGTTGTATGTGTACTTATTCTCTCTTCTTCTTTCTATTGCCTAGTTTATAGGCAACATCAAAGCGATCTTCGGTTGCTAGATGCTGTTGGGGTACTCCAGCATATAAATGCTGCTAATGAAACTACCAAGGAAGGAGTCTGAATGATAACAGAGGAAATGTACTGCTAATGGGAGGATGGGTTTCATTAGCTTTTGTACATGAGTTGAAAAACGAAAGCTTCTTACGGTTTAATTACATCGACTTATAATGCTTCTTCTGGCCGAAACAAAAATGAGCTGATTCATTAATCAGGTGATTTGTACATTCTTCTGGTACAGCAATTCAAAGCTATGAAGTCAACTACATACCAGAAGCAATTGGTAGCAGCGAGTGTTTATTATTGCAGGTGCGAATGTAACAGTAGAGGTGTCCAAAACGTAATTCATTGGCGACTGGTGACAAACACGCAATAACCAAATCGAAATCGGCCTTTCAACTGCTTCATTGCAGGCTTCCTGGTCCGTCAAAAAGCAGCCACCCAGCTGCAACATGAGAAGAAGGGGAACAAATTATGACAGTATTTTTGACAGCAGAAAACGAACATCAGTGTCTGAGAGTGATTCATCAGACAATCACATTGTCAAATACATAGACAATCAACAGCTGAAATTGAGAGTCTCTGCAGAACCAAGTCTTCGTGAACGACATCAAACCACATAGTTCATCTAACTAACTCGAGTTATTGGAGAAATGTTCTAAACCCCATCTAATTTCGCTTCATAGGAGAAAGCATGGCCAACCCAAGGGAGCTTTTCTGAGCAGTTCATATCATAAATGCATCATATAGAGGCTAAAAGAGCTAATTAACAGTCATATTTACTAGCATAGACCATATATTGTTCTGTGTGGTTATCAAGCAAGCCTTATAATCATCATCACAAGATTGCAGCAAGCCATAGAGGAGAGCAAATCAGGGAAGTCTTCTCTTCCTTTCTTACTTACCATCACAGCCTCGATTTCCCTTTCGGTGACCGAGCTTCGCCTAGGCTGAAGAGAAGCTTTCCCTCCAACAGCAGCGTCAGATGTCGATGACGGGACATCTGATCCAGAAGCTTGGGGAGGAAACTGGTACTTATCTCCTACCCCTGTTGTTATTTCTCGACCCTCCTGGGAGCTTACAGATTCCCTCCACAGTTAAAACAATCAATCATTTACTGCCTAAACCCATTATTCTACTGTACAAAGGAAGCACCAAAAAAAAAAAAAGATTCAAACTTTACAGATACAACCCAGCTATGGTCTCAATCGTCGTTCAGGTCGCCCTTGTACCAGCAGACTTCAAGATGTCTTCTGTTTGAATCCTGACGTTCAGTACTATGACCACCATCTTCTCTACTACCAATTTATAACTAAAAAATTTGAGCATTTGAGACAAATTGGTTCTTAACAGAGCCGTTTGTGACCAGATGTCTTCTGTTTGAATCCTGACGATTCCATATTCAAATTGTATAAATTTTGAGATTTATTGAGTGGCCTGAGTTTGAGGGGATGTGTTAGTATGTGGTACAAGATTCATTATTAAACATCTCCCAACAATTCAAAATATTGCGACCAAACGATTTATGACATGTTCGAATTTCCTCAACTTCCAGTTTCAACAATTGATCTAAGCTCAATTTTTTTTTAGAGAGAGATTTAAACTCAATGTATGGTATGCTTGTACAATTTCAAACTCGTCAACTTTCATTTAAAGGGACATACTAAGGAGTAATATAAAATCCATAATGGACAATATCTCGAACAACTCACATTATTGAGGTTAACTCTTTCTTATCAGATGGAGAAACATATTTTTTCATACTTGACTAACCAAACTTAATTGACTGACTACTATTTACTAACTAGCAATATGAAGTTCCCTAAAAAAAACTAGCAATATGATAAACACAGAAGCTAGTCCATCAATATATTACTTCCCCTTGGTGAATTATAATTTCTAAAGACATTGTCTAGAAAGCATACAATTTCTTCAATAAAAACTTCCTCACCGAACTACCAGTCTTTGAATCCGCCATCTAACTAATAGAGATCAAGTAACTCAACATGTGGGGTTGACATCATGAAAGAAAACAATAAATCAACCGCAAAATAGACTGAGTGTTGAAGACTTACAAGTATCGTTCCGTATCTTGTTCAACTATTCTTTAATCATCATATCGCGGTTGAGTTTGAGCAGCTACGGCGACCTCTCTAGCGCGGACAGCAGCTTCACGAGCAGCTACAGCTGCCTCCCTTTGGCTTACAGCGGCCTCCCTAGCGCGGACAGCAGCTTCAGCAGCAGCAACGGCTGCCTCTCGTTCGGCGAGGACAGCTCCGACATCTCTTGCAGCTGTCTCCCTTTCAATTAAGGTTCTCTGCCTTATTGCAAGAGCAGCTTCAGATCTGGCTCTCAATGACGCAACTTCTCTTCTAGCCTGAGTGGCTTCCAGCTGGTATTCCAATTCCTTGCTCAAAAGGGACTCCGTTTTCTTGCTCCATTCCAATTCCTTCTTGCAAGCCATCAATTCTGCGCTCTTCTCATCCACTAACTTGCTCAAAAGGGACTCCTTTTCCTTGCTCCATTCCAATTCCTTCTTGCATGCCATCAATTCTGCGCTCTTCTCCTCCAACATCCGTCGGAGCTCCTGGTTGGCTTCCTCCGCAGCGGGAAAGTTAATCTGCTAATTTGAAAATTCGTTAGCAGATACTAACTGATATCCAAAATACATGAACTAGTATCCAAGTACTAAAGTATCTAGAGAGCACAGACTAGTATTCAAAGTTTGCTAACTGATATCCACCATGAATCAACTATTATCCCAAATTCACAAACTAATATCTAGACAACACAGAATAGTATCCATATAACACATTATTAGTATCCCGATAATACTTAAGAGTATCCAGATAACACATAAGAGTATCCATATTAAATACTAGTTGGTTGATTGTGGATACTAGTTTGTGATGTTTTGAATACTAGTATGTGTTATCTAGATATTCAGCAAACTTGGATATTAGTTCATATATTTTGGATATTAGTTAGTATATACTAACGAATTTTCAAGTTAGCAAAATAACTAGGCTGCCTCCGCAGAGCTGAAAGTTCCGCCAACCTTCGTCGTCGCAGTGTACATGCCAATGCTCGTCACTCTGCTGCTGTGTTGATCAAGTAACTTCTCGTCACATCTATCCTGATCATCAGGGCGATCGGTGAACTGCATAGTTTTAGATAGATCAATGTGTGATTCTGATTCACAAAAAAAAAAAAAAAAAGTACAAAAGCCATCGTTTCTACTTTCATAAGCCCATTAATTAATCACCTTCTCCACCTCCTCCTCCAACTTGCTCGAAATAATCTGCTTGCTGCGCGCCGCCAGCTCATTGCCGGCTCTCACCATTCCTCGAACGTCCAGCACGGTTTCTCCGGTGTACATGTCGACTCTGTCCCACGCGGTGTAACCGGTGCCGACGTCACGGGGCAGTTTCACGCCGTACTTGGACCAGCCAAAGAGATCGTTGATCCGCAGGGCCCAGCCGCCGCCATTGACCCGGCTGATCATGCAGAGGCCGATGCGGTTCACGAAAACGTTGAATCCCGTCGCGGAGCTGCCCCCTCGCATCTCAATGAGATCGTTGACCAGCATTATGAACTGGTATCCCTTGACCGTGGCCCCGAAGACTTGCAGCGCCTTGTATTGTTGTTCCCGAGGGCCGACGCGGACTCGACTACTGTCGCCCCAATGCCCGTCAAGCCGGCGGCCGCGCGGCCGCTGGAAATCGTCGTTCAGGTCGCCCTTGTACCAGCAGACTTTAAGAGTACTACTACTATTACTATCACTGACACATGGTGTGATGAATATTTTGTCGGAGTCCAAGGTGAACGCTTTCGACATCCCGATCGACGGCGGGATAGTAAAAAAACTTTAATTGAGAGAGACGAGAGTGCTAGCTAGCTAGCTAGGGTTTGTTCATTAGGTTTATTTTCCTTGTCGGTTCAATTTTGTATGATGCGGACCACCCCTAACCAGCCCATCTGGGGTGAATTGAATACACGTAGATTTTAGTTTTATTCCTCCCCGAGTAATTAAGTCACTCAATGAAGAGAAATAATATGTATAAAATTATCTAGTTCACAGCAGCTAACGAAGAACGAGTAAAGTTGAACCTCGAGAACACACATGAGGCAACAATAATAGGGCATGCCGAGCTATCAAGTGAGCCGCGTCCTATTTCGAGCACGACCAACAAACCAAACAAAGAAATTAGCCTGTGACTGTAATAAGTGGATTGTCTCAACCAAGATTGCTCCAATCTTCGCATCTTGAGTGTCCCCGTTAACACTAGTCTATTGATGGCGCCGGATTTCTCTGGGTCAGGGGGAGTAGAGGAAGACGGAATGCTTGGTCTATCAAAGAGAAAGGCCGAGAGTAATAAAGTTTTAATTAATTGGATCAGGGACATAAATGACTAAATCGAAATTAGCAGTGTTTAGGAGTAAATAAGGGGTAATTTGGTCATTTTCTAACTTATTAAATGGTCATTAACCGATAATCAGACGGAAGAATATTTTCCTTACATTTTATTATTATTAAAAGGGTATGTTTGTGAGAAAAAAAATTAATAAAAAAAATACATTTGTTAATTTTACAAAATGTTACTACTCCTAAAACCAAACAAAGTAGTTAACTTCCTGATCTTCCTCATTTTCGAATCATCCCTCCTCCAAGTTATCTTCCTGATATGGAATACACTATGAGACTAGTACGAAGAAAAACCATCTTCTACTTCCATCGATGAAATACCCATCATCGAAAATTCTCATGATTCTCATGTGTCCACCCTTAGCTTCTTGGCATTCCTGTTGAAGAGCATCCCGTTGATCTGTAGCTTCTGCCTTCTCCCTTCTGCGTGCATCTCTCTCGGAGGTGGCCACGTCTCTCTCTCTCTCTTCGCCGTTGGTCGCGTTGGGTTGCAGCTTCCTCGGCCTCCCGTTGGATGCGTGTCAATTGTCTCTCTGCATCCTCGGTTCTCCTCTCGATCACCGGTAATGTGGGTGTATAAATATATATACACACCTCTGTCCTTATCTGGGTTGGATTTGGGATTCTCACTCCGAATAGGAAAAGAATTTAGAACACAAAATTCTGGAGAATCAATTCGTCACAATCAAAATTCAATGGAGGTTTCTTCTGGGGTTAATTGCATGGTTGGTCACTGAGATTACAAAAAAAAAACTGAATCGCTAAATGTCGCCCTAAGAATTGCTAAAGGTCGCCCTAACTTACAATTCAATTTACCTATATACCCTTAATGAAAATTTAAAAAATAGGCCAACCAAACAGCCCTTTCACCCTTCCACCCTCTCCCTCTGCATCCCGCCGCCGGAGACCTCTGCAACCCGCCGCCGGAGACTCTGCAACCCGCCGCCGGCCCGCCAAGTTGCCGCCGCCCGCCAGTCGCCGCCGCCCGCCAGTCGCCGCCGCCCGCCAATCGCCGCTCATCCCGCCGCCCTCCTTGTCCCGTCGCCGACCCTCTGCATCTCGCGCTCCACAGTCGCGCCGGAGAAGAAGAAGCTAAAAAAAAAAAAATTCGACCGCAGTGAAACCGCGGTTAGGCCGACGGTCAACCGCGGTCAACGCGCGGTTGAACCGACGGCTGACCGCGGTCAAAGGGCGATTGACCAATGGTCAAACCGCGCTTTGACCGCGGTCAGCCGTCGGTTCAACCGCGCGTTGACCGCGGTTGACCGTCGGTCTAACCGTGGTTTGACCGCGGTCGAATTTTTTTTTTAATTCTGTTTTTTAATATTCTGTGTTTAAATAAATGTTATTAATAATAAAAAATTAGTTATATGATATAAAAATTTGAAAAACATTTTCGATAAAAGTTAATTAATGATAACAAATTTAAAGAACATAATAAAAAAATTAAACATTTTAATAATCAAAATTTAAAAGTAATTCGTTTATCTACTTAATTATTAATAATTTTACCTTAATTAATTATTTACTTTGATGTAAATAATGATTACATAGAACGTAACGTAAATAATGATTACATGGAAATCTTAAATTAATTACTTTATGTACTCTATTATTAATAATCCATTATTAATAATTCAAACGGAAAAATCATAAATCATATAAAAAATAGAAAATTATTCAACGAAAAAATAAACCCAAAAAATGCCCAACCGCAAGTGACCTGCGGTTGGACCATGGCCGGACCGCAAATCACCTGCGGTTGTACCATGGGTGGACCGCAATTGACCTGCGGTTGGACCATGGCTGAATCGCAGGTGATTTGCGGTCCAGCCATGGTCCAACCGCAGGTCATTTGCGGTCCAGCCATGGTCCAACCGCAGGTGATTTGCGGTTCCTTTTTTTTTTTTTTCGTTTTTCAGTTAATGTATTTACCTCGTCGGAGTCGCTACTCCGACGATATCGGCTTCAAAATGACGATGATGGATTTTTCTCTTCTTAGATAGTGTTTTTTTAGTCCAAGTGGTGTTTGTTTGATAAAGGGAAGGTAAAGAAGGTAAGGGGGTAAAAGTGTAACTTTGATTCTTTTTAGGGCGACCTTTAGCAATTTTAAGGGCGACCTTTAGCAACTCCCTAACGTTCAAGTTTGGTCACTCTAAATATTTAAATTCATTGGTGGTACTGTGGCAGTCAACTCTCAAAGTTGACTGTTAACTTAGTGAAGTGACAATTAAAAAATAATAAATAAAATAAAATAAAATTTAATCTATTTTAATATCCAACTCATTTTATCATAAAATAAATAAATTGCTAGGGTTTTTGTCTCTGCCGGTTTGTCTGTCTCTGTTTACTTTTTTTTTACTTATTTAAGTTTTTTACTTTTACCTTGGGGTTAAATAGCTAGGGTTTCTATTCTTGCCGTAACCGTAAGGCAGGAGAATATAGATTAGTGAGAGAGGGGATCCAATATGACTTTGCTTAGTCGTTTGTACGACTCATTTTTGTTGTCCCCTTTTTTATGTTTTTACCCTGAGTGAAAATTTTAATTATACACAATTTTAGAGAGTGAAACTTAATAATACTAAAGATATTTTCTAAAATGTAGATTATTTGTGATTTTTTATTAATGGTATAGTTAGACCATGACTATTAGACTATATATGAATCATGCACATTATTTGGTTTATGACGACTCGGATTGAACCAACCACCACCATGCATACAGTAATATCCATACTTTACACAAGTTTTTGGATGGAGATTAGAAAGTTTGATTACCTAATGCGTCAAATATATCTATTTTCATTTAAATTTCATTACTTATCACTTACTTTGTTACGAAGGAGAGTGCAAATGTAAGCTTTTAGAGTATGAAAATTAGACTTAGCTCAAGGCCCATTCATGATCCAATAACATATAAACTTGTGCTTAGACTTGACATTTATACGCGAATCATGCTAACTGGAGTAAAGAGAATAAATAAATGATTGCAAGAAATCCAATGAAATGGAGTGATTCACCATGTTATTTAATTTGCCTATATGTTAATATAAACAAAACAAACAACACAGGATAATCATGATTACAAAAATGCCACATCTCT